GGACTTCAACTCCCAGAATTCCCCAGCCAGCTGCTGGCTGGGGAATTCTGGGAGTTGAAGTCCATACAGCTTAAAGTCCATACAGCTTAAAGCGGCCAAGGTTGAGAAACACTGGCTTAGGGCTGTATGACTTGTGGCTTATTCAAGAAACTCCGGCTAGGTTTAGGCTCCGAACCCAACCACAATCTCTTCCGTTCCCCCACTTTTATTCAAGGCAAGACCAAGACTAAGATTTCCTGCGCTCCTTGGACAGGCTCAGCAAATTATTAAAAGATCTAGCCGTTGCATCATGCAATAGGCTAAGCTTTGGCAGGCTACACCTCGCTTGAAGGTTGCATCCTGCTTTCCACCGTGGGTGGGTGGCCCAGTCGCTGCAGGAACCCCCAGCATCATCCTCAACTCACCAGTAGCCCACCGCTAAGCCCACTCCTTGCTTACTTGTTCTCGGTCAACAGCAGCATTTTCCATCTTACTCTGCCCCAAACAGCGTTGTGCGGTCTACCCGACACATTTTATTTCACAGCAGCAAATCGTTCTGCCGAAAAGGGCCGCTGGGGGCTCTAATGGGAATGCCCCCTCCCCTCCGGCGACCAGGGGCTGCCCCCCATGGCCATTTCATCCAGGGCTGCCAAGAGGCCTTCTGAAGTTGATGGATCAATTTTGCTTGCTTTGGTTTCGTGCGTCCTGTAAAAGACGGTTTCACCAATACGGCGGTAGAACGGTAGACCTCCGTCCCCATTTTTAACCAAGTGAAACCGACGAAGAGTCCTCTCAGTTTTCACTTGTGGCCCCAAGGACAGGAAGAGTAGTCAAACTGCCAGACAGGAAGGTGTTAAGTACAAAGGGGACAGAGACTCATACAACGGGGGAGTCTATCCGTGGAGCCCACACACGCTTAAAGATCTGCCCCCAGAAATGAAAGAGATGGATCTTGCTGTTCTGACTCGGGCGGGTGGGGAAGGAAGGAAGGAAGCAAGGAAACCCACTGACAGAGGGGCTGTGCAAACATCGTCCAGGTGGAACCCCTGGCCTACGTCCCTGCCAAAAGCTGAAGGACCCGCTGAAATCCGGGCAGTGATTTCTTAAGCTGGCTTCATTTCCCACTAGCACAGGAAAAAGAATTGGGGAAGACCCAAAGTTTCTGGTGCCACTCCGGCTCTTTGGGCTAGTTCAGCACGGAGTAGCTGCTGGGATTCCAGAAAGCCGGTTAATCCGGGAACCAGGATAAAGATGTTCCCTTCACCATTTTAATTTCCCTTCCACGTTACCTGTCAGATCACTGAAACGGGTGACCCCGTACTGGGCTGTCCCCAACTCGGTGTCCTGCAGGGCCCGGCTTATTTCCATGTTCCGAACAAAGATCTTGAAGCGGTAGAGCATCTCTAGGGCGAGAAATCAAAGGGGCAGGGGGCAGAAGACCCCACTTAGGCACTTAGCTGATTTTAGACCCTGGGTTGTGTGTTTTTCTCCTTCGCGGGAAGGTGTGTTTTAATATCTTTTACGGAATAGTGATTTAGGACCAATGCTTTCATTGATTTCGAAATCTTGTGTCTTCCCCCCCCCCCAAAAAAACTTTTTTTGAGTTCAGATTCACATGCAAGAGTGACTCTGAGTTCTGTCTCCCTGCACAACCAAACATTAAGGTGGTGGTTCCTGATGGGCTCATAGGATGGGCGCTATTCACTGTTTCATAACAGCTGCTGATCTTCTCCATGGGGCTTCTGGACTGGATTTCGCCCCATCTCAAGGGGGTAAAAAGGGAAGAAACAGTGTTGGCTTTATACACCGCCCTCACCTCCTGGAGAAAAGTTTCCTCTACATCTAGCTGACTAGATGCAAGTCTCTCTTGCGGCAGGATCGGATGGGCGCAGGGTATAATCCTAACTAAAATAAAATGTTCCGCTTGCAAGCCCAAACTCTGCCCGCAGCTGTATCAAAGCCCATGCCGTTGGATAAAACCCAGCCAATTTGTGTGGCTTTGCACGTGGCTGACTCACAAGGAGTTCTCTGCCTTTGTTCTGACCCCCCCCCCCCCCCCT